CTCTACCAAACAGAGGCAATGAACTTTGCCTTGAATTTTGAAACTTTCTCTGAGGTGTTGTAAACCGTTCATTAAAAAGACGGTTTCTTAATATTGGTAAATGAATGAAATTATTTAATTATATAATTTCTATAAAGAATTATGTAGGTGATTCCTCATTGAAAATTAAGGGGATCCGTTCCTTACGAATTTATGTATGAGAACAAAAATTTAATTACGTGTGGTTTTCCTGCAGGTAATTTCTCGAAAACTTTTTTCTACCATCAATATTTTGCCAATTTAAAATATGTTTTAGATATCTTGATTTATTTGAAACAAATATGACCCAGCAAAAAAAGAATATGATTCTGCTCCATAAGAAAGCTTTTGTTACAATAAGAATACATTAAGGCCCGGTACTTTAAGGTTAAAGCTTGATTAACTGATCAGGCGATTAGACTGTGGAGGTGGTTCTTATTTATGGAAGGGCGAAATGGGCGGTGACTATTAGACGCCTTCATTATAGCCATCTTTCTCTATCGCACGGATATCTATGACTTTCTTTATCGCTCTCACGTAACGGCCGATGAACCATGGGGACTTTCCGACCCTGTATACTGATTTATTTTATAAAGGATAATCACAGTCTAATCGCCTGATTAGTTAATCAAGCTTTAACTGAGACTCAAAGTACAGGGCCTAAAACTAGGAAAATAAATTGAGACAAGCCTTAATTATAAATGGAAAATCATAAAATATCATAATAAATGTTGGAAATGGCCTCCTCATACTTTACAAAAGATTCCGTCCACGTATCTGAAGCAATAATAAAATTTGCAAAAAAAACAATCAAAGTATCAGCAATAATTTTCATTTTAATATTTTTTTGCTCAAAAATTATTATTTGAAGGACCATAAATCTTCAGGGAGGGGCGCAGATATCCTCCTGTACAATGTGGTCTTTAAGAACTAACTACCCTCATAACATTTTTATCTATTTTAACAAATTATTTTGGTGTCATATAAATCGTCATCAAAGCACGACCCATTGTCTTCAAAGCCATGACCAAATGCTACCAATCTTAAGGGAGTACGATGAGGAATATTTTTAGGGAAAAAATTTTAATAAATTCTTACTCAGAATGATCTGAAACACAAATGCTCCAATTTTTGTGGTATAATCAAATCATATCAAATCAATCAAATCAAATCAAATAATTTATTGGTGTCTATACATTAAAATGTTTACACAAGTCAAAGAAAGAAAAACACGAAAGATACAACATATAAGCAATACTACACTAAAGCTAAAAAACACATTCAGATAAATATAACGTAAACAGCATAGAAAAGTGAACATACAATATATATCTAAAAACTGGCCAGCAAGGAACTCATCAAAATTGTAAAACGCTTTTCTCTTAAGATATTTTCTAATTCTGGCCTTAAAACAGTCTAAATTTAGTGATCGAATCTCAGATGGAAGTCTATTAAAGAATTTAATGCAAAAATAATTTGTGCCATCTCTGGATTTCGCTAATCTATGAAATTTAGGCCTAATATTATGTTGCTCTCGTGTATGATGAAAATAAAAATTTTCTTGTCGAACAAATCTATTCTGATTATTTTTTATATAAATGAGACATTCAAATATGTAAACTGGCGGCATTGTAAGAATATTTAGCGGTTTAAAGTGCTCCCAAAAATCATCTCTGTATTTTATTCCAGCCATAATTCTAATACATTTACGTTGTAAACCAAAAATTTTATCACTGTGAGACGAATGACCCCAGTTAAAAATTGCATAAGTCAGGGTGGCATGAAAAGTACCATAATATCCAGATATGAGTACAGGCTTAGATACTACACGATCCAAATTACGCAGTAGGAAAATATTCTTAAATAAACGTGCGGATAAATCATTGACATGTTTTTCCCAACTCAATTTCGTGTCAAGGTGAACTCCAAGAAATTTAATGCTATTTGAGTTATCACAAGTATTGATATGGCGAAGTGTAAAAAGCAAAGATTGAGTTTTGTCAACATTTAAGTTCAATCTATTAGCAATAAACCAGTCCTTTATCAGCGGCAGCGTATCCACTGAATCCTCTGTGAGTTTAATTAAGTTATTATTTGACTTTAAAGCGGTAGTATCATCGGCAAATAAAATAAAAACAAGAGATATCACAATTTGGGAAATCATTGATATAGATAAGAAATAGAATAGGGCCCAATACTGAGCCTTGGGGAACTCCATGAACTATTTTTGTTAGGTATGAAGAACAAGAATTATAAAAAACATACTGAGTTTTGTTCGATAGATAAGACTCAATACACGCTATTGTCAGTAAAATTGTAAAATTTTAGTTTATTTAAGAGAATTCTGTGGGACACACACTCAAATACCTTAGTCAAATCGTAAAAATTTCCACTGACAACATTGTTTGATTTGAAATTGTTTAAAATAATTGTAGTCAACTGGTTAATAACTAAAGTTGTTGACCTTTTGTTCCTAAAACCGTATTGACTAGAATGGAATAAATTATTGTTTTCAAAATACTCTGCAATTTGCATTTTTAAGGCAGTTTCGAAAACCTTTGCCAGAACGGGAACAAGAGATATTGGTCGGTAGTTAGATACATCATCTTTCTCACCTTTCTTAAAAACAGGAATAACCCTGGATAACTTGAAAGCTGTAGGAAATACGTTGGAGCTAATACATTGATTAATTAGTTTAAATAGTGGAAAAATTATAATGTTTTTAAGAGTTTCCAAGATTGGAACATTCAAATCGTAAGCATCTTTTTCTACACATTATATACCTACAAATTATTATAATTTTTTAACTTTAGCAGAAAACTTTTTTAGGGACGCCTATGAAACTTATTAAATTTTATTGCTAGGCGTTTTTATACATGTACTTCGGAAAGACTATAGTAGTATACAGTCTCTTTCATATAATTAAGAACAAATATTTAGATTCGTATTCGCGTTTTTAAATATTTTTGTAAAAATTACAGTTTTTTAAGTGCCTGGGTCTTATTACACTTACATAATCTCTTACAGAGCAACCTAAAAAGTAGATATTTTTCTTAACTTAATCGAAAAACTATACAAATTGATACACTTGTATTTCAAATCACCCTGAGTAACAACCCGTTGGATTTTTTTCCAATCCTAATAGTTCTTCTCCAATATTTGCACCAAAAAAAATATGGTTGCAGTTGACTATGGATTGGAATTATAAACATTGAAGAGATCTAACAACAACGAATTCGTTAAAATTTGATTTTTTTTATTACTTCCAAGTGGTAGTCAAAAGAGGTCGTTAAAATTAAAAATAATCGGTACAAATACATTGTGGATGAATGTCACTTGGTCTAAGAATAACATTTTTTGTAACTAGTTTACTAGAATTGGGTTAAGGAAACTAATCACTTTTTTATTATGGCCACAATTCACAATAGTGGGAGAGTTTAGAATACATTCTCAGGTCAAACAATATTCGTGTTTTACTTAAGGAGCTTTACATAACGAAATATAGGTGCAGACGGAAAGGTATTGGAAGCCAATATTTAATATTAATCGAATTTTATTAGATATATAAAATACTACTCTTAAATATATCTGTAAAAAAATATATAAATAAAAATTTTGGCTTATTTAGTACTTATTAAGAATCGTAGCAGATTACACTTCAATCTAACAGAAATAACCTGCAATGTTTCACTTGCCTCCTTGATCTTATCGTTGTATTTGATAATTTTGATAGATTTATGTATCATGCTTTCTAAAATTTGAAAAAATAATAATGAAGAGCAGATAATAAATCTAGAAATAAATTAAAAATATGTATAAATCTATCTATAAATAACTATAATTTGACGATCATCTGTCATTAACTTGTCATAAAACTAGACACAAGGAAATATATCTAGGTCATGGCATATTAAGGCCGTTTGAATTATTGTTAGTATCGCTAATTTATTTCTGCTTTATTATTAATTTCGTGATTATTGTTTCATAAATATGTATTCATTTTCAGGAACAGTAATAAAATATTAATCTTATAAAACATAAGATATCCATCACTTATACGACGACGAATATTTCTTTTTTTTTGTATCTTTAATTAATTTGCAAATATCTAAGCTCTAAGGCTGTAAGCAAGTAAATATTATTTAAATAAACAAAAAATTTATTTCAGTACAATTAATAAATATTTCTGAATTATTTTATAAGCTCTAATAATCTGAGTATATTATAACTATAAAAGAACACCCATTTTCCCTTGAAGTCCGTCGCATTACCCCTCTCGCCCCTATTAATTAGCAAAACTACATCATTTCAAATCTTTTCGTCATACCTAAACACGCTAGGAAGAAATATTAAAATAATTAATTCTCAATAATCTCTAAAATCCTTATTTTTTTACAGGACAAAAGGAAATAGAAAGGAAATAGACTAAGAATTAGTGTCCCATAATATTGGGTAACTTTCTACATTCACATGACCTGAGTACGTCGTAGTAGGTTATATTTTGTTCGCGAGACAAATGAAATATTTCCAAGGCCTACTCCAAAGAATTCTTCTAAGAAACTGAATAACTTCAATATTTTTTGACACAAGCATTCCTGAAAAATGTTTGAAATGCTAAAAAATATGATTTTCTCTCTTTGTATGCAAGAGAGCGTTGATGTACATAATATACGTTTATTTAAGTCATTAATATTATTTTTAATAAAATGCATTCCTTCTAAAGTTTGCTGAAAGTATTACAAATACATATATCCTTTATTAAAGGGAAAAAAATCGGAAGCAGTTCTTCTGACAGTATTTCATCAACTTTCAAGTTTTAAATATGAAAAATAATGTAGAATAAATTAGAGGAGAGCCGAGATTGTCCAAACGTAAAATCCATTTGCAACTTTCGCGAAAGTTTGTATGGCATGTGGTAGAGCACACTTAAATTTCGAGACCTGCTCTACTTTTACACTATTCTAGCTTGTTGGCGTCCTTACCTGATGCATACACAAACATGGACACCAGCAGCGCCGCATGTACCATGATAGTCCAACTAAAATTAGTGATAGCCATGTTGTCACAGGTCAATCACTCTACACTATCATCTAGCCGGCTGCGGTGCATCAGAATACAAAAGAAACAACTGAGCACCAAAGTTAACTTGATAGATTCACTAGTCATCAAACACTTCACTGGATGGAATCTATAGATTCAACGTCCTGTATATGTCACAAATCACATTGGTCTTTAAAATACACTTGATGTTGTGGCGGTTCAAGTCTTCAGGGAAAGCTATACAGTAAATAACTGTTAAACCGATAATTAACAATTAATTGCTGCTGCAAAATTATAGATATACCGGTGATGTGAGATTTTTTTAAAACGTAGTACTTCACTGGATATTTAGGTCATACGAGGCAGTGGAATTCTTCATTTTGATCTCTTCCTTCCCGAACCGGATGGATGATAACATGGATCAATTTCGAAACACATTTCCAAAAAATTTTTTTTAACCGCGATTTCTATTGATTTTGTTTGGCTGTATTAGTTGTCTTGGCGTCGCGATTGAACATTGGTAGATGATGAGGCGCGCACCTTCTTCTGCAGACTGGTCGAGTAACGGCACCAAGAGGACTTACCTAAACCACTTGAGTGTACGTGACGTAGGGGCAATCGGGGCAAGGCAGTAAAAAGTGGATGGCATTCTTCTGCAGTTACCATGCCGTGCTATGTGTACCATTGCACAATTGTTGCATGTACCATACGGCTTAATAAAAGCTGCTTAACTTAATCATTATCATGTAATTCGATTTAGGAAGCAATAATTTACCACCGTACGTACTTTTCATTTTCTCTTTGTGATTACTGTGGCATACAAATAATAATAATTAACAATACGTAATTAGAGACTGACTAATTATAGCTGTCCGTAACTTTGAGTTTGTTTAAATAGTAAATTCCCATCAGGTATCTTCTGAGTCATATAAATCTCCTATTATATAAGATTTCCAAAATCACATTTTGCATTGTACGATGCATGCATGCTATGCTACTCTATTTGATACAGAAAACCTGCTCATTATTAATTAGGAAATCAAAGAGCATTCTTAAAATCTTCTATATGTGACAATAACGTAATTAACTAATGATACTGAGCGAAACAAATACTCAGCGTATTGCCCCGACCAGCATTGAATTACACTTACAATATCTAGTAAACTAAGAACCTTCGTCAATAGAACCAGCAGATTTATTCCAGCTTCGGATTTATTAGTTGCCATCAGTAAATCATAGTAGCGTAGGGGTAGCGGTTTGTTACTGTTCGTTGTAAACGAATCACTAATATTGGTGACGTCAAGATTTAGGGATTTTCCGTTACCGGTACCAGTCGTGTAATGTTGGGTTGCCTAAATATCAACGATCACGTGGCTTCTAAACATTTATGGCAGTTCTGTTTATTATTACAAAAATACTAATTTTTTAAAACAAACGGCCAGAACAAATTGTCGTGCAATATGAGGATAAGTGATACGTTACTTGAACTGTTCCTGTACTAGTCCAAAAGTAACGGGAATTTTCAAACTGCGCATGTTGTATCTTGACTATCGAGTTGATTCTTTTTTTGTTTATTGGTAGCACCGTCAATTTTTAGGCAGCTGCCACTCTTAGTTTGTGTTTAGCGAGCGAATGAGTAAGAGTTACCTCAATGTTTCTGACGAATTTGTTTGATATTTTGTGTTAAAATGTTAAAGAATGCCTTTGGCCTACACAAATGTTTTCAGGAAGACCAAGAATACACGAAGCTAAGGCGAGATCTGGTCGTTTTCTTCAACTACAATGGAATAGTGCATCACGAGTTTTTACTGCCTGGTCGTACAGTTAACAAGGAGTACTACCTACAAGTTTTGCGCAATTTGCGTGAGACAATCAAGAGAAAACGATAGGAACACGAGACACAACTCGCGGATTTTGCACCACGACCGCTTCTTGACGAAACACAACACCATTGTGATGCCGGAACCATTCTATTTTCCGGACATGACTCCTGTGACTTTTTCCCAGACTCCCAAAGTTAGTCAAAGGACAACGTTTTTCAACAATAGATGAGATAAACGCAAAATCACAAACCTCATGGCGAAGCCTAAAGAAGCGGTCTACCAGTGTTTTTCAAACTGGAAACTACGTTTGCATAAATATATCACTCTGAAGGGGATGGAATAAAAATCGAAGATTAAATAAATACTTTCTGAGAAAATTAACAATTCCCGTTATTTTTTAATCAAGCCTCGTAGTTGAGTTTCTATTAAGCCCACAAATTCCATATTTGCACCAGACAAAAAGAGTTCATTTTTCAAAGAAATTGTCCCTTTTTTGCACCAGAGTATTCAACTGAAGTGCCTGGCATAGTAATGAGTACTTTTTACTTGTCTACATTTTTCAGTGTCTGATTTTTGTTTAGTCAAAAATAATTTAATAAAAATAGCCGTTGACTGATCCTTTTAGCGCAAAAGTTTCTTTGATATTTTTTTTTTGTATATACCAACAAAAAAGAAAAAACTGAACTATACCACAAATAAGTAACTTAAGATAACAGCTAATAGCCCACTAAGCCGTTGGGTAGAGCCAGTCGAGTGGTGTGATGTCACAAATATTCTGCGAATAGCTTGGACCGTTTCAAATATTCTACTAATTAGAAATCATTTATTCACAGTTAATTTTAAAGCCATCGACTAAGTGTTTATGGAAATTGTAAGATCCGGTTATAAATAAAATATTAATGAATGAATAATAACTTTTAAAGCACCTAAATGATCTCAGTAGAGCAATCGGTGATCATACGACTATAAGGAAAAACAAAATAAACTACTTCTACTTGTATGTCTAAGATTTTTTAGCAAATATAAAATAGGTATCAAAATGATGATAAAATATTGTAAATCAGCCCACACTGATCTACCCCAAGTAAAGTAAGTGCTAATATTAGATGTATTAAAAATCGGAGGCAGCTGGAAAGTGTTTATAGCTACTTTAGACTAGAAAAGAGGGAGTTGAACTCTCGACCTTCAAACAAAACCGAGGTGTTAATTTACCATGACAATATCCAATGTTAAAACTATCTTGTAGTAGAACCTTTGTTCAGCAGCGTCGAATTATGCTATGCTAAAGATCTATTATTTATCCGCAACACAATGTTGTCTGACGTAAAGAAATGTACCTTTATAGGAGGCAGGCAAATTGATTTAAACACAATATGAATTCTTAAATTGCTGTGTTCTTTTTTCTTCTGCAGTCCCTTCTTACACAAAAGTTGTAACCTCTTCATATTGTCTTGTACAAAATATTTGTAAGTTTTGAGGAGGGGATATCATCAAATGGGGGAAACTAAATGTAACATAATGATTAATAGAAATTATATTCTCAATAAAATTTTTTCGATTTTATTTGAAAGTTCGTTATAGAGGGTGTTTCATAATGTAGTGCAAATATTTTAAGGAGGTGTTTAGAAAGTAATTTTAGGGGGGTACTACCAATATATTTTCTTGATTTGAGCCCCTCCTGAGAAAATATTCAAATCTCAAAATGGTAGAAGAAATTAGCTTTTATTTTAATTTTTTTTCACGAAAACGGTTAAACTTAGAAATTTGAATTTTGGTACACGTTAACTAGTTGAATGGTATTTTTGAATAGTCTATTTTTTAGCCAATTCCAACAAGAAGAATAGCTTTTAATACTACATTTCATTTACAAACTTTTTTTACTCTTCCTATTTTTTCGTATACTTTGTGCAAAACCGTACTTATCTTATCAACTTCGACGTCAGCTGTTACATGAGTGTTATATAATAATAAAAAAGTAATATTAACGGTCGGTAGAAGGAAGCACAAAAAACAAGCACTTAGGTAGGAAATTCTGGAAGGAAGCCTAATTAGTCGAAGATAGTTAGTTGAAGTGAGAACATTGTGGAGATCGGCAGTAAGACGATCGGCGGGCAGTGTGTCAAAATAGTGAAAAGTTAATTGGTTAAAGTGTCATTAATTAGCAGGTAATATTCTTTAAGTACTTTGTTGTTAATTGTTCTGTGTAATCTTATGATTGTAATATTTATAGATGTTTCATGATAATAATTCTTTGTATGTTTAGCTTCCATTGCTTTATGCTCAAGGGCATATATTTTTCTAAGGTAAACTTGTTATACTTATTATTAACGATTGCTCATTATTTCTTTCATGTTAAAATATGTATATCGTCGTGGGCGCCCCCGACTTTAAAATAATGACTCCTTTGTTTTACAGCTAACTTGTTTTAGTAGTGATGACGTTGTACGTAAAATATATATGTCTCGTGATAATAATTCTGTATATGTTTAGCCTTCATTGTCTTACGCTTAGGGGCGTATATTTTCCTAATATAAAATTGTTACAATTATTATTTAAGGTTGTTTATTATTTATGACATGTTCAAATATGTATTTTGTCGAGGCCGCCCAGATAGTGCAATAACGACTTCTTTATTTCACATTTAACTTGTTTTAAACAAGATCATGTTGTTCTTTGATTTCTTGTGTCCACTTTATGTCACACGTCTATACGAGCCTTTTTGAGTTACTAACATTTTCGCCCGTGCGGAACGAATCTGGATTAAGCTGGATAGCCTCCCGTATGGGACTCCAGTGTTAACAAGGATCTTCCGAAATCTCAACTTTATCTGAGTAGCCTCCCGTATTATTGGACCTCAGTACCTTCAGGCTCTGCCGGCTAACTAACACCAAATCTCGCCAGTTTTACTTGGAAGTGTGTATGACTAATATGGGGTTAACAGATGACATTTAGTGGCACATTAAATGAGACAGGACTTATTTATCATTAGCAAAGGTTCTTAATTTATGCCTTTGATTAGCGGTTGTTTTGTATTTATATTTGAGTGGTAAGAGCAACGATCGTGGGTTTCTCTGCCATGCTCTTTCCCCACAGGAGCTCTAGGCCTGGCACTCTCCTTTGATGTTAAATGGTTCTATTCTACGATATCAGAAAGTCGTGTGAAAATAAACTATTTCCGGATAATTAAACTACTAATGATGTACTCATACCATGGTACCAATTCCAAAGGTCCCGTTCCATACTTTCATCAATTTCGTTATTTGAACAAGTTGTTTAAAGTTTATTTGGTTACTACTTCAGGTGATTAAAACTTTTTATAAAAAACCTTTTGTATTATGAACAATTATTTTTTTACTTCAGAACAAAAACTTTAGTTAAAATTTTCTGCGTTCCAAAGTAAACGTAAACTTTTCAAAAATAGGTATTTCTAGTAGGGCCATGCGTGTACTGTGAAAATTTCATGACATTTGGACGAATAGAAGCAGAGTTATTGCTTCTGAGGTAACAGTATTTTTGTGTCATCGGTACAAAAATGAACACCAAACATAGAGCTAATATTAACTTTTGTTACTTGTTGTACTTAGTAAAACTTTTACCAAAACGTTTCAATTGTCACCAAGTTTATGGGTGATGATTGTTTATTCCGTGGCAGAGTTCATGAGTGGTACACGCGGTTTAAAAAC